CAGGGTCTCTGACGGATGGTTCTTAACTGTCTTCGCATTTGCATTACTGTCGTGGCCACAGGCCAAGCACCACTTAGGCAAACTTTCAACACGCCTTTTCCTTTTGTTCAAGCTATTTACCCAGACCCGGCCAAATCTGTAAGAAGCTGTTCACTTTCTTCAGAAGTGATTATAAATACTTGGTCTTCTGAAAACACGCTCTGGCAGATCCAGACAAGCACCCAAGGCTGGAAACACGGGGCATTGCCTGTGTGGCCTCCCGTATTTCTCCCCCGACAGTCTTCACTTCCAAAAGGAGGTCTGTTTCGTTAAGAATCGCGATTAAAATTTGGAAGGCTCAATATGCAAAGCAAACCCAGTACCAGGGCCTTCTAGGAAATGAGATGTGACAGCGCACAAGGCAGGCAAGGAAGCGTTTGTAACAGCCACTCATCACAAACAAACTCTACTTGCATCCTCCAAAACTACCCACTAACTAGCAGGCTCTGCTCCCTCCATCCTGAACAGCTTCCACAGCTCTCCTGCAAGCCCCCCTCCGGTTTACAGCCCCTTCCAGGCCCAGAAGCTGAGGCATTCCTCCAAACAGTCCCCATTCAGGTTTCGTGAGCTGCTCTAGAGAAAGCATAAAGTGTTGGTGCGCTGTCGTTACCGTCGGCAAACACTAGCACTCACAACCTGCAGGAGCCCACCCCTGCAGCGAGGAATATCACCCACATTACGTGACCCACTGATACAGACCTGTCTTACTGTCTGGGTTGAGGCACCGCTGAAATACCTGCGAAGAGCAGGGCTGCAGCAACTGCACAGGACAAAACGAGACAGCGGGTATTACTACAGCCTTACTCAAAATGACTCCGTCACCATTACACTCCAGCTGCAGCTGCCAGACCACGTTCCTCCCTGTTGATGTGCTCCACGTATTTGCTGAAGTGCCCAGAGAATAAGATGAGCCGATAAATCCGAATTCAGCATCTGTTGCTGACGTACCACCAGCACACCAAACAAAGACTTCTCAGAAACGCAGCCCTGTTGGCACCAGGCTACGGCCACTACTCCCTGATCCTCCAGGTGGAACAAGCTCTTGGAACTTATCTGCAGAAACGTCCCAAGAAGGAGCATGTTTCAGAAGGGGAAGGGCTGATGAAAGGAGCCAGGTTTGGCAGATTACAACCTGCCAGAGGTTTAGACTCAGAGCTGAGGATTTTCTTTTGAAGAGTTTTTTCCTGTTATTTTAAGACCAGGACAAACATCATCCATTCATTAACTGTATAATGGCCTCTCTATATGGCTCGCCTCTTTAAGGAAAAAAGAGCTGGAAAAAAAAGCCCAGTGAAGACTTGTTGCTGTAATGGTAGAGGCTGAAAGTGTGCACAGAGAGAAGGAAAGAAAGAAAGAAAGGGAAAGCAGCCACAGAGTTTCATGGAAACCTTCTCATAACTTCTGCAATATTATTTCCTAGCCTCTCTTCAGGGACACATATCTGGATACACACCAGCACACGGTCACTTGGTGTGTGGTCTGGTCAGCCAAAACTCCATTGCCTGCCTTCTTTTCAGCCCACATCCTCTCTATAATTAAAAGGAGCTGCATTTTCCCTCAGTGGCTTTCAAAAACCCCTTGAAGAAGCTGAAGGGGGGTTGAAAGAAGGAGGAAGAGGTTTTGATTGTGTTTCCTAAAGGTACTTTCTCCTACTGACACCTCTATTTTATGTACTTTTTCAAAGATATCTGTACTGTTTCCTTTGAAAATCTTTTCTTTCTCAGAAAGGGGGAAAAAAAAATATATATATATACATGGACCTGTCCAGTTCAGATAAAAAAAAAAGCTCTGTCAAGATACAATTCTAGGTGAGAGTAACAACACGCTGCTCCATCTGTGCGTGTGTAATTTAACAGGGAAAGGGGAAAAAACACAGCGGGAAGACATCCACCCAAGTTTTCAGCTTTCACAGCACATAAAGCTACTCATTCTGTACTCTATTAGGTGTCACAGCTCTAATTCCCAAGAACATTTATGCACACGTTTTGGGGCCATCCTCAGTGGGAAAAGAGCTTACTGCTCAGACGAAGTGTAAGCAAAACTGGTCTACCTAACCAGTGACCATGTCCAAGCAAATTTTCCATGCCTGAGACTATAGGACGAGCCTTGCATCAAGACATGGACCAGAGACGAGATGAGCCAGGAAGGAGCGAGGACTTGCAGGTAAAATTATTCAATGAAAGAATTCTTTCCTTGTCTTCTGTTTGTGATGCCTCGGCACAAATGCCACTAAGCTTGTGTGTCACGTTTAATGTGCTTTCTTGGTATGTGTCACAGCTTTGGGTTACTCAGAACTGTGAGAGTTGGTCAGACTTTCCACTGAGTTACAATCTGTCAGTGGGTTGTGGTGATATTGTTCAAGACGATGATATTAAGGCAGGCTGTATTGCTCTGCTCTTAACCTGCATCTCATTACTGCAGGGCGCCCTTCATGCATTAAGGGCACTAATTGGCTTGATCTTACGGCCACAGCAATACTGTTATTAAACATTTACTGCTAGACAAAGGTCTCCCTGCAGTAGGAAGTGGTCCAAACCCCCCCGATAATCTGACACTCCCTTCCTCCACCCTTTCTGCTACAGAGAAAGCAGAAAGGGGTAAAGAAATAGCAGCAATAATCAAACTGCTCTGGGACTTCACGGGCAGCCGTAGCTGTTCCACAGGAGGCCAAGCTTCCATCCACTCAGTTTTACACGAGCCACAGCTAGAAGGTGGCAGGCAGGGGACCAGCACACGTGGAAGGCAGCAAACCACAACAGCAGAAACACACGTGGCCTTTGGCCGAGGCACAGGGACAGAGCGAAGGGAAGAAAACGAAGCAAACTTGTGGACTGCCTCCACAGCACAAGGCACGAGCGCAGTCATGCAGGCGGGGGAACCGGGTCTCCCGGCAAAGCAATTTACCCTCCTATTTCGGGGTAATTATGCTGCTGCCTGGGCATCTTTCCACATCAGGACACTGTTGCACAGCCATAACCTGCATCTGCTTGCACACTGCCTGGCTAAGCAGGTGCTGTCAGTACTTCACTTTACGAGCAGACAACACCCTGACTCACAAAATTACATGAAAAGAGACACTAAGCTCACATGAAGATAACCCTCTGTTTTACACGTATTCTCCTGCTGTCATAGCTTGCTCAAGGCAGCTCTCTGTGACTGAGTTTATTTTCCACTCTAATTAGAAGCACTTCCTGCCTCTCTCATTAACTCACAGCCACTTCTGATCACAAGATTACCGGGGAGCTAGTGAAGTCAGATCCCAACACTCCCCACCCAAGCCAATGCACTGGAAAAGCTGGACGTGTTCCCTTCCGCAGCACGAGAAGCTGTGGTTGGTCTGAGCCGTCTGAGAAGCAAAGGGGTCGGACTGCTGGGATGCATTCCCAACACAAAAGGCAGCATTTTGGAAAAAAAAAAAAAAAAAGATAAATAAGGCAGCTACAAACCCTCCCTCTTGCCAAGCTAAGAAATGCCTTGGCAGAGAGGGGTGCAGGTCTCTGGTGACAATTGCAAGGGTCGGGGGGAAGAACTAAGGCTGAGAAGGGTTTCATCTGAGTGGTTAAGGCAACAAGGAGAGGGTAGAGTATCTCTGGAGCCAGACAGCAGCTCCCACAGCACCTGGCTGGGTGGGGAAGAGGTGCACGGGGAGGGACCGGGGCTCAAGCTGTGCTGGGGTTGTGTTCATGTCCTGTCAGATGTCAGTGCCCTGCCATGTGTCCCTTCTGTCCTTTGCATAAGCTTCTCTAAACACAGTGTTGGCCACAGGATTTATAATCTCACTAGTTTCCTAAACAAAATCAGGGTTGTTTGAACGAAACAGAAGACACCACCCAAAAAAAAAAAAAGAGAAGGGAAGGGAGAGAAGAAGGGAAGGGAAGGGAGAGAGAGAGGGAAGGGAAAGGGAGAGAAGAAGGGAAGGGAAGGGAGAGAAGAAGGGAAGGGAAGGGAGAGAAGAAGGGAAGGGAAGGGAGAGAAGAAGGGAAGGGAAGGGAGAGAAGAAGGGAAGGGAAGGGAGAGAAGAAGGGAAGGGAAGGGAGAGAAGAAGGGAAGGGAAGGGAGAGAAGAAGGGAAGGGAAGGGAGAGAAGAAGGGAAGGGAAGGGAGAGAAGAAGGGAAGGGAAGGGAGAGAAGAAGGGAAAGGAGATCCTTGTTACAAGTGCCTGGAGAAACCTTTGCTGAGCTATTTCCCTGCAAGGCACCAGCTGGATGGCACTCACGGAAGGTTCATGCCTTGAACCCACAACCCGCTCCTTTTATCTCAGGGACTCACTGGGTCAACGTTACGCTTTCTTTGTTTCTCTTTAGTTCACCTTCAGAGCGTTCAACCCAGTGCATCTGCTCCACCGCATCGTAAGGGGCTACGTTCACAAAAACCATCGGCAAAACTGCAGCTTTCCTCCCTGCGATTGCCACGTTGTGTCCCAAAGAACGCAAGAGCATTTAAAGGTGATGCACATGATACTCTCTGGGAACACAGCCACTGTCAGGCTGGACAGCAAGCTCACTCCCTTACAGAGGTGCTCCTGGGATCCCTTACAGACACAAGAAAAAACAAGTCTCTCCCAAAGGCAGCCACGTTAAGTTCCTTTGAAATTGGAGTGAGATGATTCATTGATTGAACATACTCTCCCCAGAAAATAAGCGGGCTCGTTATCTTCCCTCCTTTGGCAACCACGGCTCTGGAAACACATGCCACAAGCACAGAGCCAACCCTGGCAGGACAGGGGCACGTGCAACCCACAGGAATGAACAAACTGGCAGGGGGAAGTAGCACGTGGCTTTTAGCAGAGCCTCTGCAGTGACGGGGAGAGTTCAGTGACCCTTTTACTTCAAGTGGCACCACAACGAGGTCAGCTCTGGGCAGCACCTCTCCCCTTGCACATCCATTAATCGGAGCAGGGTGTGCTGGAGAGCTCGAGGCAGCCCCTTCCCTCCACTCCTCGCCTGCTGCTGTCTGCTTACCTGACAGAGAGGGTGAAATCTCCCGGGTTGCTTTTACTGGGTCGAGCCAGAAAGCTGCCATGGACACCCCTGGTCAGGAGCAGCTTCTCTGCCTCAATTCCGCTGATGTTGGGATGAAACCACCTGCAAAGTACAAACGTGACATGTGAAACGGCAATTCGCCTGAGCCTGCCCTGCCTGCCTTCCCTGCCGCCCAAGGGGCGGACACTTAACCTTGCACAGAGCCCCAGTCCTACCTAGCAGCTCACCCGCCTTCCTCCCCACCACGTCACAGTAACAGCTTTCGTTCCGAAAACCCCTCCATTCGGATGGAGAAAGCCTTCTCGGACACCCATCGAGAGAGGTCTCTTTCCCAAAGGACTTTGTCCTCCTCTCCCTCCGATCAGGCAAAAGCAAGAGCCCTGCAGCACAAACAGGAGATTTCCTTCTCTGGAGGAAACCACTGGCTCAGAAAATAGCTTTGATTTTTCATGCTGCAGGTCTGATCCTGGCCAGCTGCTTCCCACCTCTTACCCTCTGAGCTGTCATATCGCTGGCAAACGACCCGGGCCCATGAAAAGACCTGAGGGCACCTTTGGTATCTCTCATTTCAAGGTTGTTATGAAGAGGGGATCCTCAGAGCTGGAGAAAAGAAAGGCTTTCCTTTGAGCCTCTGCCTGGGAAGCAAAGGCACGCTCTGGTCTGCAACACGCTGCGGCAGCGACAAGCCCTCATGCTACGAGAGGATTTCTTAAGCGCTGGCGCAAACGCAACGGCAAGCGCACGTTCCAGGATCTCCCTCTTTGCCCAGTCCACGGGAGACAAGGAGCCTGCTCCAGCCTCAGCTAAGGCAGCTTAGACCCTTCAACTTCAGGGGAAGCAACTGCTTTTCAACTCCTAACCAGTCATAGCTCAAGCTGCGGTGCCGCAGCCACCTTTCCGAAGAGCACAGAGGAAAACGAGCCCAACCGCACAACCGCTGTGTCAAAAGCAAAGCTCTCCACGTGGGACCAGTGCATCACCAGGGAAGGAGCAGCCAAGGAAACGCCGCTGGAAAGCAACAGTGCCGTTGGTGTGCATGTGTAACAGGACACAGTGGAAAAGGGAAAAAAAAAACAGCTCACCCGAAGGGGAAAAATGTTTCATCCCCTTCTGTGCTCCTTTAATGTAATCTTTGTATTTTAAGTGTCATCAAACCATCTACTGACCTCATTTCTGACGCTATTGGTCTCGATCTTGACGGAATCGCAAGAACTGGTGTTTCCCCAGGCTTTCATGTCTACTAAAAGCGCATACTAGACCAATGATTTCCCACGTGGCACCAGTTTTATGACTCCATGTTTCAGAAGCCACTGAAAATCCACTTTCTAAATGCCAGGCTCCTTTGAGTAATCTCACAAGTCACACAAAGAGCACCCCGAACTGAGAGTCACTCCGTTTTGAAAGTATTGCTCAGTCTTAAATCACGCTCCAGCAGATATTTCTGCATGGGACTGCTGTACTATTTTTTCATGAGCAAAGAGGAGAAGATGAGCCACAACTAACAGGGTACGATAACAAAGCTGCTTACCGAGTGTTTCTGGGCAGCACCAAGTGCAAGAGAACAGGCTGCACACTCAGAACTGCCTTCAGAGTAAAGGATGACACCGTAAGAGTTCCTGCGGACAGGTCTGCAGCCTCACTCTGAACCCAACAAGTCAAAACTGCAACGCTTCGTTTTCCAAGCAAAGTGAAATGTGGGTTCTCAAGAGGAGCCTATCTGGAAACATTTAGTAAGCAGTTTCTTGCGTACAGCTGTCTGTGGATCAGATTAGCGAACACGCTGTCCTTCCGAAGGGTTTGCAAGTTTATCTTGATCGTTACAGAGAAACGCATAACCCAGCACCTCGCTGAGGGCCTGCGTTAGGAAATACACCCAAAGACTAAACCTACAAACATAAGCACATGCACACTCATTCGAGTGTGTTTGTCTCCGAGATACACACAGAAAAGGTCAAGAAATGTCACCATCTCCTCCACAATTTGGGATTTCCTCCCTCCCACCACAAGCCAAACAGTTTTGATTAAAGATCCTTGAATTCTGGAGGAGGAGAGGTCTATTAGGGAAGGGTCATGGAAACAGATGGTAAACAGGAATCCCAGCGTTTCCAAGCCTTGTATTCCTGACATCACCAGAGTGACACCCTTTCATAAATCCACTGTCTGCGGGGCCAGCACTTAACTGTGCCACAAAACTGCTACTTGGCATAGGAATGAAAGCCTCTAATGGAGCTTAATGGAGCCCAGGGACAACTCAAAGCTGCCAAAGGCCACACAGAACGCTCCCACAGAATGCCTAATGGCAATAAAACCCGCACAATATCGCTAGCCAGAACACAGGGGGAAAAACCTAAGGAAACATCTCCAGTAAAACAGCGGGATAAGAATCCTTGTAGGGACGTACCCATAACCACGAGCATACACCGGTTCTGAGGACACCCCGGTCAGTGTGACAGCACGGTCTGCCCAGGGGTGCACCCTCCTCAAAGGCTGCTCTGACACCAGGAACCACACGGCCCCACGCCGCCCCTCGCCCCGCTATCACACAACGCTCCCAGGTAAATACTTGTTCTCCTGGGATGCCGTACCTCAGCTGGAGCCAGACCTGCGTGATGCTGAGGGCGGACAACTTTGTGTGGGTTGTCAGCGTCGGGAAAGGAGCAGAGGTGCTGAGGCTGTACATCTTCCAGCATCTGAGGCACTGGGCTCCCACAAGGAAGGAGGCAACAGGAACAAAAGGACCTTATATCCAACCTCCCTCCAAGGGGGAGGATGAGTGCTTGGGAAGACCATAACCCTCTTCCTTTTCCACCGCAGCAGCTGTTGACCACAGCCACAAAACAGAGCTGCATCAGTCCCTTTTCAGCATCTTTTTCTCAGTGAAATACTGAGAGGGGATAGCAGGGGCCACTCACAAACTCTCTGCAAGCACCCAAGGGTGGGACAGCACTGTAGAACGAGAGACAGGGAAGGAGCATATTGGGGGAAAATTTGGGGCTCTGTCAACTTTGATGTTGTCTTTGTGTCACTAAACAGAAACCTAAATGCTAAACGACCTTTCCTGTAATGACTCCCACTGCTTGGACAGGAACCAATTCATACAAGCACACACAGACAGCTTGTTATTTAGCTTGCAAGAAGCCCAAATGATGAGCTGAGGAGAAAAACTTTGCAGCCCTCACAAACAGAAGAGGGAGGAAAGCCAATTTCCAAATTCAGCAGCAAAAAAAAGAAAAAAAAAATTAAAAAAAAAGAAAGAAAGAAAAATAAGGAAAAAAGCCCTCTGCAAGCATAGGCACCTCTCCCGTGGATTTCCAGAACAAAGAAAACCTCTTTGCACAGCTCATCTTCCAAGGGCTGCGCATGGGTGGGAACGTATTGCTTGGCACTACCGTGCTACACGCCTGTGGCACGAAAAGGGTATTTTCAAATTCAAGGTCATCTCCATTTGGGGATACCATTCCCAAAACCGAGCACTTGCTCCCCAGAGGCTTTTCTGCCCGGACTACGTGGGAATTCACAGAAACCACGAGGTTTGTTGCGGCGCACATCCTCACCCTCTCGTGCAGCTCGGAGAGCTACAAATGACTCAACCCTCACCTCTCCCGCTCGCAGGGTATTCTGGCACACCTATTGCCAGGTCCCAGCTCACTCCCCGGTCCTGTGAGCGGGGGAATAAAAAAAAAAACAACAGCAAAACTGAACTTAAGGCTCCTTGGTTTGTGAAGGCTGCCCAGCCCTACTCGGGGTACACCAAGAGCCTGCCCGCTCTAACGCTCTCTGCCGCTTCATCCTGTGCGACAACTGCCACAGCCACTGCATAGCCCGAGGCGCTTTTATCAATACAACTTGTTTTTCTCCCAACCCCAGTAAGCTGTACTTGCAGAAAGCATCCTTAGAGCTGTTTTTCATTATGGCTTTTACTGGAGTACATTTGTTGGTAAGCAAGACCAACCCACAACAGAGCAGACAAGAAGAAAGCACCAACCCACACATCTCTCACTAAACGGCGATACTAAACCCTGCAAGCAGCCCCCGCCAGTCCCACAGACTGCAAGCTCCAGAGCCTGTGTCAGAGCAAGCACCGCTCACTTTCAGGTGAACCCTCGGCTTCGAGTCAGACCTTTTGGATTCACAGGTTGTTCATAGCAAGATCTTCAATACCCTCAGAAATAAAACAAATAAAGGATCCAAACCAGATCCCCAGCATAGGGGGAAAATAAAAATTTAAAATGTTGCATTATTAATATCACACCATTGTTTTGATGTCGAGCATTACCGTGCAGCAGGGCATTTAGGCAACCGCTCAGCTGTTAGCGCTTTCTGCAGAACTGAGTCACCCCTAAAGAATTGCTTTAAATAAGAGTGGGGATCTAACAACTTTTCATCTCTACCGCTACAAGTAAATATACACTGTCTGCTTCAGGCAATACTGCTTTCCTGCAGAGGAACGCATTTCCTTCCCATCGTTCAATCCATCTAAAAAAAAAAAAATTAAAAATAAAATCAAACTTAAATTAAAAAGCCACCCGCAAATGCCCTTCAGGAACCAAAGCTACACAGAGAAATCTATTAAAATAAACAGAGACAATGGAGAGACTTGCATGGGCGCTAAGTCCCCAACACAGACCAACAGAAAGATAGTGCTTGGGCTGCTGGGAGGGACCCTGCATGGCGGGAGGGGGCTTGGTGTAGGGTTCAGGCCAGGCTGACCAGTGCACAGCATGTACAGAAGCAGAAAGGTCCAGTAGCCACAAGAACCCCAGAAAGCTCGTCGTGAGAAGCCCAGCATGACTGGATTTACCCACCAAAGGGCAAACCTTAGGTCGATGCCAGCTGCCCTTCACCCACGCACGACGATAAACTGACTGATGCAATAGCTACAGCCCCTTCCTGACCCTGTGGGTACCCAGACAAGCAACGGGGCACAGCTCCCCAGGTAAATCAGACACAAGGGGCCTCCTTGGGTGGGAGCAACATTCCAGCAGAAGCTCTGGAAAAGGAAACCTTTCTCCCTGTTAAAAACGATCAAATAATTTCTCTTTAATTACTAAAGAGTCGTCGTTTCCATACAGTATTACTCATTTCCTCCCTAACCGGAGCAGGCATGCTTTCTTCTGCTGGAACGCATCCTTGTGCCCCCGTCTTGGGATAAAAAAGAACAAATA